TTTTGCAATAAATAAATAAAATATAATTTATCAAAGTAAAAGCTATAATTTATTAATCAAATAAATTTTTCTCTAGGTTGTACCTTCTAAAGAAATTCTGGTGGACTCATCAACACCATTGACAACCTCTGAAACATATGTGACAGATTCTATTGCGGAGGAATCGATGCTCCAACCACAATCAACTTTGATACCGAACAACCTAAATGCATTGAAAACTTTGCTGCAGAAAGAAGCCGAAGTTACTACCACTTTCAAAGATGTAGAAATGCAAACGACAGACAAGACTTTTGAAACTACTTTAAATACAGGTTAGGAATATTGACTGATAATAAATGTCATGTTAATAATGAATGAATTCATATCATGATAAATCATATTTTGATATACTACATTTCGTACGGTAATTTGGACAAAAACCAAGAGGTTTCAGGTTCAATACCCGTTTCGGGCAGTCTAATGTCAAAAAGTAGTGGCAAGTAATAAAATATTTTTGGTAAAAACCGATGTCGCTACTACTTTACATCTAACCACTAATCCACGAAAAAACCCATTGTTCGGACGTATTTTCGTTTTATCATTGGCCATGAAGGTGACAATCTTCATGGCATTGAGTTTTTACACGGAATGGTTGCTACCCCTGGTAGAGGTGGTATCGGAGCGTTTAATAGGACTAATTGACAACTTTTAAAATGTGTGATAAATAATAGATAATATAATGATAATAGAAAAAGATATATATATTATATATATATATATATATATCTTCTTTCATTACAACTTAGTAACAAATCAATGATTATAATAAGAACTGCAAAAAATACATACAAATACAAAACAAATCAATGTTTAATATAGTCCACAGCTACAAGGGTTAAATTATAACCCAACAACCTGAGTTAAGCGAAGAACAGTTTTAATAAAATTCATAACAACGTAACATAAATACACCCATATTGAAATAAATTGTTCAGAGTTAAATGGTTCAATCTCGAGCAAAAATATTGAAAAAGATACCCTGTATAATAGAGTACGTGTCAGTGAAATCTGTCTTCTATAATTCACTTTCCTTTTATTAATGTGTATTTATTCAAGAGCAATACTGCCTAAAAGATAAGACTTTAAAATAAGATCACATTTCGGCATATCTTATTTTCACCACATTTAGGTAAAAAAGTGATTATTTCATTAAAGCACGATTTAATTATTTTATATTTATATTGCTCAATTTCTAGATGTATCGGACAAATCACCATTTATATCGCAACAAACAACAGCTTCTTATGCTACGACATGGTTTACTAGACCTAGGCCTACAACTACAACTACTGAAGAGCAAATTTTAGTAGAACATAGTACAGTGCCATCTCCAGTGCCCATGATAACACAAAATTATATCAGAACCAGCCCTGCACCTATCTACACCACTACCAGGCGTCCTACGACAACGACTACTTTCAGGCCACTTATGAACCTTATAATTCAAGGACATTCTAAGGTAATGCTAATAGTAGTTTGAAATTATAATATTTCAGAAAAATATGTTAAATATAATAATTTCTTTATTAGCCTGATATAGTATTTAGCCAACTACACTTTTTTATTTTTTATTGTGTACCTGTACACTAACATCAACACAATTTGAAAAGGCAAATCATTGCCTGTAATGCCTTTTAACCAGTTTCCGTAGGACTTTAATGGTATAATATGTTCATCAAGACCAAATACTCTATCGTTATACCAAGTAAATCGTCTGATTTGAATTTTAACAAACATCAAAAAAAACTACTCATTTTTTCAAACTTTGATGAACTTTTAAAATTAAACTACTTGTCTTAAAGCCGTAATATTTCAGTAAGTTCTATAAGACCGTGATATATATCGCTAAAAAAGTTCCATTAAAATCGGCTTAATTTTTTTTTCAACAGTTAATTACAAGAAAATGGCGATAAATTTTGACCTAAAACTAATAAGTATCATTCCCAATTAATATCTTTCGAACAGTTTTTGATTTTTTTAATTCGATTCGGTAGTATGAGTTTAAATATCGACAAAAAGTTTAACACTTTTTTCAAAATTACAAAGAAACGGGTTGGCAGATCATCGCACAAAACTGACAAACGATAGTATTCATTAAAATACATTAAATCGCTTTTAAATTTCTAAAATCGGTTCAGGCGCTTTTGAGCAAACTATAGTATCTATCGTCAAAGAAATCATAAAAAACGTCGGAATTTTTTTTTAACACTTCATTACAAGAAAACGGCCCGGCCGATCTTTACAAAAACTAATCAGGTCGATTTCCGTCCAATATCTTTCGATCGGTTTTTAAATTTTCAAAATCGATTCAGAATTGCGGGCTAAAACGTGGACGAAAAATTTTTCACTTTTCCTCGATTTACATGGAAACGGCTTGGCTGATCGTCGCGCAAAATTGATAGTCCTCATCGAGATACATTTGATTGGCTTTTAAATTTTTAAAATCGGTCCAGCCGTTTTTTTGAGAAAACGTCGATTTACGGCAAAAATCTGTTCACATACACACACACATACTTTTTCCAAATTTGGTCTCATTCGATTCAGAATGGCTTGACACGTCGAGAAAACATAAAATTAGCGAATCGATTTTTTTTATGAAAACGTAAACTTCTACTCCAGGAAGTTAAAAATAATCATCAAAGATAACAATCATCGTCATAACTTAAACATTATCATAATTCTAATTGCTATTCTAAAGCAAACAAGCTTTTAGAAAAATAATGATAAAATTATTTCTGCTGCATTGCTACTTAATAAGTTAATCAAAAAACGAAAAGTATATATCACAATCATTTTAGGTAAAAACTTACGGACTCATCCAAAACGACAACTCTCTGATTGCCGAAAACATCAGGCATCTTCATCCAAAACAACCAGGCGTTCAGGATCAGGAATTGACAAAAACAAAACATTTGCATGATAAACACAAGTCTGAAACAAAAACCGATGGTGTACAAATTCAACCCAGAGAGGAAGAAGTACAAGAAAAAAACTCCTTTTTCGGAAACATGTTCGAAAATATGGATTTCGGTTTAGGATTTTTATTTAACGAGGCAAATAAAGATGCTAAAAAATCTGAAAACAAATATCGCTTTTTGGATCAAGATGAAATTAAGAATGTGGAGGATGTACAAACAGTACAGCACTTGCACTTCGGTAATGAAGACAAGGAAGAAGTTGATACTTCGGAAACACTGGCCAAAAAAAGAGAATCTATGTTGGTATCGCTTCAAGGTTTAGTGGATTCAAAATCACAAGCCTTAAGTGATGATATCATAAATCGACGAGAGAAAAGGATTGCTCAAATTAAGGTAGAAAATAATAATGCACAAATAACTTCTAAATCATAATATTAGTTATTAGACTTCATATTTTATTAACAATTTTTTTGGACTGCTAACAAAACCTGGGTGTTCAAAGAGGAACTTTTTATGTGTGAATACACAATTAAAATATTGTGGCGATGCATTTGTTATAAACAAAACGTTTTAAATGACAATATAAAAAAAGTATTTATCAGCAAAACCAATATATCATCCAAATGTGGATTGAACGTGCAATCATTTCAACCGAATTATTCTGATTAAAATAAATTGAAGAAAATAGAATATAGTATAGTATATAGAGAAACCAAAACGGGTTAATAATATACTTTTAAAATTTTGTATATTAAAAAATATAAGAATATTTTTTTATATTTTATTATCAAAGTTAATTATCAAATGAAAGATGTCATCAAATATAAGTATACAAACTTATATACAAAACACTGCTGAATGTACTCATATTGGTTTTGTTTCTTTGATTTATATTACTAATGTTGCTTTGAAGTCAATATTTCAGATTGTATTTTATCAAACTATTAGTTTATTATATTAATAGTAAGAATTATTTCCGTCAAACTTATGGCTATATCTTTGGATTTTATTATTTTGTTCATTTCTTGAACAAAAACCTATTTGTTTGCACATTTCTAATTGCTTTCATTGGCATGGTTCAAGAGTAATGACCTCAGCGCAAAAGCAGTCAAATCGAGCACAATTTGTAAAATAAATGCATTGTCCAAGAGTAAAAGTTCAAGATTTCAGTTCTCATCCTGCATGCAAACTAATTTTTCAAAGTTGATAACCTTAACGGAGTTTTACAAATTAATCCTAAGTTAATAGTTAAGATCTAAGTTAATTTATATTTTAAGCTAATCATCTGAGCACGATACACGTGCAACGTGATCGATAATTTATGTCGAAATCGCTAATTATATTTCGCTAATTTGTCATCTGTTAGCAGAAAATGCCGTTCGCATAATTTTTTATCGAGACTAGAAAGTGCGTTTGATGTCTGCGTTTTAGTAGAAAGGCGCGGATGAGAATAAACATTTTTGCAGAGAAAAATTACACTGCGGGGCCTTTCATAATTTGGTCAATATTTGACGGAGCGGTTTTGCATATTTTTTGCATCCGCATATACGAAATTAATAAAATCTGCACACGTGAATAAGATGCCGTCCACAAAACACATGTAAAAGTAGAATGGTATGATTGGTTTTGATCCAAATAAATTGATTAAAGCATAAAGTAGATGTGAACGCACATTCCATTGATTGGATTTATTGCTAGCAGGAAAAAAACTCGACAGGCGAGGTAAGAGCATTGTAAAATTATATTCTCATTTTCGTTTAGAAGAATTTTATATGAAACAGACTGAAACAGTATAGGATTCCCATTACAGAACATTAAAACACACAATGCATTATTCGATAGCACTGCAAAAAAAAATTTGTAAACAGGAATATTTGTACACACCTACTTTTTGCAAGTGAAAAATTTCAAGATTAGTTCCAAAACTTTTGCCATACTTTAATAGAATTTATAATTAAAATGTCATAAACAACACATCATAGAGCTGATAAACTATAATATACCACGACAAGCTATTTAATTTTATTTTCAAAAAAATTATTAAACTTTTCATTTATTATTGTGTCTTTGTTTCGACTATATGGGACTGTTGTCTTCTTTAGTAACAATGAAAACAAACCGTTTTTATACACTTTTTATGATGTATAAAAAGTATAAAAAAAATTTGTTCTTAACAGTTCCTAAAGAAAGCACCGTTCTATATCGTCAAAACGTAAAAATAATTGAAAAAATTTTTTCAATTCAAAATTAATTTTTTTAATAAATATTGAAAATTTAATATCCACAAATTCATATCAAACAAATTGCATATTTTACTCAGTATTATCGAAGTACGTTTTTACAGCAGGTACGTTTTCGTCAGAATGTGGCTCCGAATTACTAGTAGATCGTTTTTTGAATTAGTGCCGACTGGTAAGGGGTTTTTAGGGGGAGGGGGTGTTTGACAAAAAACACGAAATATCACGTCGGGGAGGTAAGGGTATAGTAAGGTATCATTTGTATTTACTGTTTACTTGAATATTTAAAAAAAATCTTCAAAAAAAAAATTACAACTTTTACTCGTAGCTAAAAATACACGTGATGTATGGTGGGGGAGGGGGGGGCAATTTTGAATATCACCAAGAGGGAGGGGGGTTTCAAAAATCCTTAAAAAATCCTTAAAACGTGATTAATAGACTCCCCGTAAGAGGTAATTAATAACGTTTTAGGAGCAACCATAATGAACTTTTGTCACAAACGTTGTTACAAAAATATAGTAACATAAACCTTGATAACAATAAGTGCAGTGTGTTCTTATTCACATGATTAATAATCGTTTCATTCATCATGTGAAGTGATGAAGATATCTACTTTTAATTTGCTTTGTATACAATTTTATATTTATTTAGCAATGAAAAATTACATAAAAATTTCTTGCTAAAAAAAGCTAAATTAAAAAATGTTCACATTGCACTATAAATAGATCAGCAAATGTAATCGTAAAACCCGAATCAATCGTGAAATTCCTGAGTTGATAATCCATCTATGCATGATTTATAAAAATTTTAGTATCGTGCATGAAATAATTGCCAAAATCAAATAATTTCTTATCAATACTACCAATATCCAACAATATTTTTTTGAGAAGGTACAAACACTATTTTCTAAATTACCTTTTCATAATTTTATAGCATACTAGATTCAAATGTAACTTCTGCTCATCATAAATTCACTTCAACTGTCACTTATCGGAATAACTTTCATTTCAAAAGCGAATTATTCATGTTAAAATGAGAACTACCATAAAATTAAAAATTGATGTATAAAATGAATAAATTATTTCAGTTTTGTGATAAAAGTAACCGAAAGTTATATGCTTTGATGTTCGGTACTGTTAGATGGCATATATTATTGAGTATTTTATTGCTTTTGCTTCTACATATATCTACAAAATGTGTCAAATTCGAATAGAATTATATGGGTGCACGACATCTATCACGATGAGAACTTAAAACCATGTAAATAGTTGAGTCAGTGAAGAATTTTATATTAAAAACCTCAGCCTAATTTTTATAATGTTTTCCAAAATTTATCTCACAAAATATATTTTTGAATGTAAATTGTTATAACAAAAAATGTCATCTTCTTAAAACGATACTAACGATATACAGCAGAAATTTATAAAAATGATATTTTTCAAAGTAACAAAATACAAATTTTTGTTTCATAAATACAAAATTGCAATATTTATATTGACATATGTATTAACGATGTCTAATTATCGGGTACAGCATCAATAAAAAAAACAAATTTCTTTTAATTTATTTTGCATCCGTACGTTTCGACCCCTCATTCGGTGGAAACTAAAAATAAAATTTAAAAACTGTAACAATTGAATTGGAACAAATATAAAGAATTAAAAGTACTTACAATTTGTTAATCTTAGTGTTAAAACAGAAAGTTAATTAAAATAAATTAATGAATTTTCTGTTTTAACACTAATTTTAAGATTTACAAACTGTAAGTTTGTAAAATTGAAAAATAAATAAAAAGAAAAAGTAACAAGTTTATTGTTATTTTTGTAAATCTGCATTGCAAATTTTTTTTAAGCAAATTTTTTATCGATTCTAAATTATTAACGAGAACAGTAACGAATTTTTTTTGCAATCAAGATAGATTTTGTCAACTGCTTTTACAAAATTCTGTAAATTCATACATTTCTGATATTTAATGATATTATATATAATAGATATATCTTTCTAATCTGAATAAAACCAGGGTTATTGCTAAATTTGTCGTAATTTGGCGATTTTAATAGTTCTTCAACATGACAAATGTTTATACAACAGATATATTAGAATATAGTTTATGGATTATATTATATTATATACACAGAAATTATGTTCAATAAAAATCTGTACTTAACCAAAAATTTAAATATAAATATTTAACTATGTAATAAAAATTTAGATTAAGATATTTATATACTTTTAATAATTATTTTAGCTTTATATATGTAATGGTATTTATTTATACAAATTTAGTTATTTAATAATTTATTAATTTATAAAACATTAATTATATAAGTGATTTCAGTATTGTATTTATTTCAATAAAGTTTCTTAATATACGAATTTGATGTTTTTAATAATTCAGACCAAAACAGTTTATATTGCACTTTTTTGAATACTGTTTATTTTTGAAACAGAATTATCTAATTGACCAGAAAATGAAACTAGTAGGTGTATGGCATCTTGCCTTAAGGCAAATTGGTGGAACTTCCCGTACCGTAAATATTCAAAGAACAATAAATGTTTTCAAGTGTATTATCATAAACACTAAAACTTTGATTGTTCGTATTTTATAGACAAAATATAAGAGCATATAAGTTGGACGATGGCGTTTATATAAGTTTACATGAAAAGTAAACAAAACTTAATGAAGAAGAGTTAGAATTAACTATCTCATATTTCTAAAAATTATATAACTGTTATTATATAATTTGTATCCAAAAAGGATACAAATATTCGTCCACGATTTTCCAATCATTACAAATTGAATATTTTTAGATCATTCAAATCAGATACTGCATTCTCTCAAAAACTCGATTTGTATTTTCTGCACTCTTTGCACTGTATCTCCGTAATGTATGTGAACCATTCAAATCGGTTGATCCGTGCGCCCGAAAACGTGGACAAAAAAATACAGGCATACAAAAAACACACACACAACCACATTCATTTTTTCTGAGGCATGTCAAAATGTTCAGAAACTTTCAAAACGTGAAAAAAATATTTTCGATTATCGGCCCATTACTATAACTATCCTACGAGAAGTTAATTAGACATTAGACATATGCACATAAAATTATCAGATATTTATATCAATTTTAACAATATGTAAAAAAATGTTTACATTTCTATGGATTCCAGAAAATATTCATAATGTTTAAC